GCCCACCCCCAGGGCTGACCCCCCCCCCCTGGGCTAGCAGCGGCTCCCAAGACTACGCCCACCCAGCACCCAGCCTCACCTGGTTACCCACCACCACCGGGGCAGGACCCCGCGCGAAGCCCCTCCACTCCACCACCTCCCCCCCAACCCCGTGCCAACCCCCGCCGGCTCAGGCACCCCATTCGCGCCGCTCCTCTGTATGTGGGTCTCGCAGTGTTGGGAGGACGAGGAGGCGGCAATAAAGCCGGGCAGAAAGCAGGTGTGGCTGGATGTGGGGCAAGGGGCTCAGGAGGGGGACCCTGGGACGGCCACCACCCCAGCACCCTGCCCACGGAGGTTTTATTTCGGGATGGAGGTCCCCGAGAGGGTCAAGACTGCAGCGAGGAAACGGCTCCACAGGGGTTTTATCCTGGCTGGAGGCAGCAGCCATCGTCCAGGCCCTCCTGGGTGGGCACCGCACTCCCCATGGAGAGCATCGCCCTGCAAGGCGACACCATGGGGCAGTCACCATGGCACAGCCTCACCCCCCGCCGTGGGAATCCTGGCCCCCTGGCCCCTTGCAGCAGCCTGTGGTCTGAAACCGGGGGCTGCCCTTGCAGAGCCGCTTCAAATCGCACACCAAAGCTCCATTCCGAGGTGTCCTCAGCCTGCATGGCTGCAGGCGGTGCCTCTCCCCCATGGCACAGGCCTCTCAGTCCAGCGTCACTCTGCCCAGGCGTCCCGCTCGAAAATCCCGCAGGAACTCGTAGGCAGCGGCCGGGTAGTTGAGCATCGTCATGTTGACATTCCCTGGAGATGGGGGTGGTGGGTGCAGAAGGAGGTGTCAGTGGAACCTGGAGTTGCCCCAGGATCCCCAAAAGCCTGGCCCCTACACCCCAGGTGGCAGAGATCCCTCCCAGAGCACTCACCTGTGCCTGTCAGCACCTTCACCTTCTGCGTCCTGCCCTGGGCGAGGGCCACGCGCCTCAGCACGGGCTCGATGTCGTCACAGGCCTTGGCCAGCCCATAGCGCCGCACGTACCTACGGAAGGAGGTGGCCCACACCCTGCTGGCGTTGCCTCTCCCCCCACCCCCGTCAATTCCCCAGGGACGGCTTCTCCACCACCCACTTGGGACCACAGGCAGCGGATGCGGCCTGGGGCCCTCTCCGGTTCCCTCACTGGCTCACCCGAACTGCTGCTGCTTGTTCAGGGCATACAGGAGGTAGTCAGCCATGATATCCTCTCCCACCAGGTGGTCACGGATGGCTCCTGGAAAAGAGGGTCAAGCCCCAGCTCCCCTAACCCTGCTCTGAGCCCCAGCCAAGACCTGGCCACACCTCCTGCCCTCCACGTGCCACCCATGGGCACCCAGGCAGCACGCACCGGCCTGGGGGGGGCCATGAGCAGCAGACTCCCGCCCCAGACTCAGGTACCAGTCCCAGCCGGGGCTCGAAGCCACATTTGGGGAGTCCCCCTGGCCACAGCCTCCTCACCACACAGCGCCAGCTTCATGCCCGTCTCCACATCCCCCAGCTTTGGGGGCAGCACGCCAGGTGTGTCCACCAGGTACATCAGGGGCTTCTCGCACACCTGGGATGGGGGAGGCAGGGCAGTTAGGACATGCGGCTCAATAACTAGCACTGTGGACTCTGACATGGCTAACGAGCGAGGTGTTGAGCTCTTTCCTTAAGTTCTCGCTGGGAAGGGGACCCAAGCAACCCTTTGAGATCAGCTCTGCGTGCCTTGAGGTTTTCCAGAGCTCCTGTGAGAGGACACAGGGAGGCAGAGGCCAGCACCCACCCAGCCAGCTGTGCCACGGGGATGGTACCTGGATTCTGGTCAGCACTGCCTTGGTGATGCCTGGCTCACCACCAACCGCGGTGGCTTTCCCTTTGGGGAAAGGAGAGACACAGTCAGAGAAGCAAGCAACGCGCTGCCCTGCCGCCCGCTCCACGGCTGCGCCAGTGGCTCCTCCCTGAGCCCAGGCACCATAGAGAAATACCCTTTTTGAGGTGCAGCCTCCGCAGGGAGTTGATGAGCGACGACTTGCCCACGTTGGGCACGCCGATCACCAGGATGCTGTACTCGGTGCTCTGGAAGCAAGGACGACGCAGGCAGGGAGCGGCCAGTTATCAGCCACCCACCCCAGGAGTGACGGGCAGCTGCAACAGCGAAACGGCCTGGCCTTTGCCGGCGCTTCTGGTATGCGTGCGAGCAGCCTCGTCCCTCCAGCTGGAGAGGAAGGTGACCTGCAGATGGCCACCCTGACTCCCTGCGCATGCATTGGCAGTTTTGCTGCCGCGTCTCACCTCGGCCCTGTGGTAGCGTGGGCTGTTGCCCACCAGCTTGGCAACCAGGGGAACAATCTGCAGGGAAACACGGAGAAGGGCTGTGACTGCAGCTCTGTGCCCAGGCTGGCACCAGCCACTCACTTGGCGGACTCTGTGCCAGGAAGATGCGCAAAATGGGGGCCAAGCAGAGGAGGGGGCGCCTTGGGTGAGCGGGAAAATGCAGATCCCTCTGGACCAGCCAGTGTCACCTCCTCACAGTGCGGCACTGAGGCCTCTCCATGGGGCTGGGAGATCAGCGCATGGCCCTCAGTTGCTGGCAGTG